TGTGTGTGTGTGTGTGTGTGTGTGTGTGTGTGTGTGTGTGTGTGTGTGTGTGTATTATTGAAAAGCATGCGATCGTATTTACAGGGACATTCATTTTACAAATTTTACAATATCGTGAGACATAAATAATAGTTACAGGTACAATCGAATTTTTCTCAAGTATAATTTGAAAAAGCAAACACATGTGCAAGATGCATAATAGTTTATTGATAAAGTTTACAATGAATTTCAGATAAAACAAATGAATGCAGTCATTTAATATAACATAAGTAATGATTTTACAAAATCAATTAGTGTCACAAAATCCATAAAATGTCATAATCAAATATCTTATAATCAAATAACATTATTTCGTTTAACTTTAGAAACGTATGCATTTTCAAATACTTAGCATTGTACAGATAACAGCAACAAATAGAATCAACGAATAGCAGTGTGCAACTTGATAATCTCGTGAATTAATTACTACCTTCAGCAATTCTCTTCTCGCGTAATTCTTGCTGAATGTTATCGACATGTGCCTTGAATTGCCGAGCCAAATCGGGCGATTTAAATTTAACCGCTAATTGTTCGGCGCAGGGTTCTTGTTCGGCATAATTCATGCCGGCCCACATCCAAGCCTGATTTGATGTAGAAAGTGGATGAAATTCTACGTCGGGAGTGATCAAGAAGTTGCAGACGACCTTGTGCACTTGCTCCCGACGCAACAGTAACCGATAGCTGCCATGACCTACATGATGCAGGATCTTCATTTCGCCGACGCCACGCTCTTTCCACTCCTTCGTGGCATTGTCATATCTGTACAACTTGGCTCTTTGACAGAACGCTGTGAACAAATGAAAAAACAACTTAGAAAATAAAATTCGAATAACCTTGAAAGTGAATGGCGAATACTCTTCTTCAAGCGTTCTTAAATTAACAAGTTAGTCTTCATTATTTATATCATTATTTGTATTTACTTAATAATCTAAACAGTTTTAAAATAATAATGAAAGAACATCTTTGCAAGTTTGTTCGATAATGATTATATATTGGATAATAATTTACTGATTGTTCTTTTGATAAATTTTATCTGAGATAATCCACGCATGTAATTGGGTAATGCTTATCCAACAGGTAAAGTTTACTAAAAAATGGAATAACTTGCCCTTAATATTACAAACTATAGAAATCAAAGCTTTAAATGGTCTAGCTAGATCTTAAATGCTTGTTTGATTCTTATGTTTATCTACTACATATGTAGTCCTTATAAACGCGCCGAAATGATTTTTCGATCTTGAAACTATTGCCCTACTGAATTATTGCAGTAATATCACGAATTAAATTGACTAGCAATTACTTAATAAATTAACTTAACAAATTTTTAATGCTTATTCGTATCTTCGAAACGGTCTTATCTAATAATATTGAATGACATATTAAAATTGTGTAAATAATTAATTCTTATTGCGAAAAATATTACCTCGGCCGGGAGTCAAACCCGGATCTCTTGCATTCTGTCCAGGTTCGACTTCCGGCCGAGGTAATATTTTTTACTACATACGTAGTATATAAATTCACACAAGAATCATACAAGCATTTAAGATCTAGCTAGACCGTTTAAGGCTTTGCTTTCTATAATTTGTGTTATCACACACATATAACGATCCTATAATATATTATATAATTTAATATTGATATTAATTAACTCGGGAATAGGCCAGAGATTCATAGAAAAATGCTACAGATGGTCTGATTACAAATTTCTGACCAATTTTTTCCAAGTTTTCACAAGCAATTTGACTCTATCTTGTTAAAACATTACGCTTTATTTTGATAGCACAAAAAGTTCTCACAATTATTTACAAGCTTATTTACAAAAGCTACATGCGCAATCATTGTTAGTGATCAAACTTGTACTGAACGTGTTCGTTAAACTTCTTACCATGCCACCATAAAAACCTACAGTGTTGCTACATTAGCAGAAAAAAATTCAATGCATGAACTTTTTGTCTATACCACACATATATATATATTAATATTAATTTAATATATTGTAAATGATTTACTACATTAATATAAACATTAACTACATTGATAAATATAGAATTCTTCAAACAAATCTCTTGTACCAAGTTGAAAGATTTCAATTGAAAATAATGATAAACAAAAATATCTTTAAAATAATGATAAACAAAAATATCTAGGCTACCTTTTTCCTCGTCTTCTTCGCCAGTTCGGACTTCAATAGTATCTGGTAAAGGTACAATAGGTTCAAAGTGAGGATCGTGCTCCTGTTCATTATCTACTTCGCCATCGTCTTCATCGTTTTCTTCCTTTTGCTCTTCGCGCGATGTGTTTCGAATCGTCATCGAACTATTCAGCGATGTACTGGATTTCGAACCGAACACCGATGATCCCGCGCCAGCAAACGTAAAGTTAGGATCTGAAAGAAGTATCAATTCGAAAGTTAAAAATACTAACAATCTTATACAAAAAAAATAGAGAAAACATTTGAGAAAAGTTGATGCTTTTAATGTGTTGCTTGTTATGACGTACCGACTTTAAAGGCCTCCGGTTGCACCGCCGTCGCAGCAAGCGCCGAAAATGACATGTTATTTGCCAATAAGAAACTGGGACCATCCTCATTTTTCTGAACGTCATCTAATGGTTTCGTACCGAAAACTGTCGCCGTCGCACTAAAAACATTCGTCGCATTTGTTGCCGCTGTCGTCCCACCAAAGATATTTGTCGTTATTGGTGTCATCGTCCTGCTGAAAAAATCAGTCGTCGGCACCGTCGTTCCGCCAAAGATGTTTGTCGTTGCTGGCGCTGTTGTTCCACCGAACAAATTCGTCGTTGTTGCGGTCATTCCGCCGAAGATGTTTGTCGTCGTTATAGAATCACTGAATGGCAAAACACTATTGCTACCAAGCGTCATTTTAGAGAAAGGCGTAGAGTTTACGCCGAATACCGAGTTAGAGGACTGATTGGATGCGATTGACGACGTGGTGATTACGGTCGATGTTTTCGGAACAAAATTTGTAATAGCTACGGTAGCAATGGAAGAAGAAACGGAACTATTACCGCTATCCTTATTAAAGCTTGATGTTTTCGATGAAGTTTTTGAGGCGCCGCCGAAAATGTTGGTGTCGGAATTGAAAGAAAAAGTAGATGGCTTGAATATGGATGCAGTCGATGCAGCTTGACTAAATATCGGACTTTTTCCGACTGTGTTAGTCGCGTTGAAAACAGTTGTCTGTGTCGTTTGAGCATTTGAAGCACTACAGATCTTGAGATTTTCAAGCGAGACACTCGATGTCATCATCGCTGTTGTCTTCTCCATCGTTTCGTTAGTATCGAACTGAGGATTCATGCCGAATGAAAAAGTCGTGGTTTTCTTGTCGTTAAACAATTTCAGATCGCCAGTACCAAAGCTCATCGTGGAACTGTCGATATTGGGAATAGTCGAAGACTTGAACGTCGCAGTGGATGTCGCGAAAGAGAATCCATTTTTCACAGACGCAGATTGCGTTACGTTCCGAGTAATCTCACTGGTACTCTCAGGATCGCTCAACGAACTTATACTCAAGCTTGAGATGTCTTTCGATTGCGTTGTCATCTTTTTTTCTTCCGGCATAAACTTCATCGTGTCTTGCCCAGCGGTATCTGGATATAGCACTATACTCGGTTTCCTACAACCTCTGCAGCCAGGGCAGTTTTCTTTTTGCTTGTAAGAATAAAAGTTTACTGGTAGCTGCAACTTTAAGGCAGCTGCCTTCTCTTCCGGAGTGACCTTCGCCTCGTAAACAATCTCGATTTCTTTGACTGGTGAGCTGATCGTTTTTGTCACCGTTTTCGTCATAGATTTATTTATCTTCTCACTACTGCTGATAGTGGCTGGTTTAATATTTTTCCTGGCGTCATCAATCGCTTTTTTGAAATCTGCTGCAATCTCGGATGTCTTAAAGCGGCAAGCGAATTGCATGTACTCAATCTCGCCTTCGCTGTAATCCGCAGTGGTCCATAGCCATGTTTTCTCGTCCTTCGATGTGAACTCCAGCTCATTAGATAGTATATGGTTCAGACATAACTTTAATACGTGATCCCGACGCATGATCAGCCGCAGTTTCCCGGTCTCTTTGTGACACAGCAGCTTGATATCACCCAATCCACGTTCCTTCCATTCCTTTACCGTGGTGTCGAATCTGAAAAGTTTCGCTCGATGACTATAGAGCATCTCTTCATCCTCCTCGCCGGTTTTCACCTCGACTTTGTCTGGCAATGGTATAACTGGCGAGAAGTGGACATCTTCACTCTCAACCACCTCGTCTTCGCTGATCTCGCCACCACCGCCGCCAGGCGATTTAGCCGGTGACTTGGCCATAAAATTAAAGCCGAAGGACTTGGCGGGTGAGCCAAACGTAAACGGTGAATCGCCTGTATTTAATGTAGTACTGCTTTTCACTGGCATACCGAACATGAAATTGGCTATAGTTTCCTCGGATTTAGATGGAGTTTTCGCGCTCTCACTTGCACTCTTGTCCTGTGACATTCGGAAGCTAAAACCAGTAACGGTCGTTTCCTTGGCGGTGTTTTTGGGAATGCCGAAAGAGAATGTGGTCATAGGCATTATGCCGGAAGATGATGCGTTCATCTGGAAGATGTTAGCCTGCTGCGGCTTAGGCGGTTGCGATGGATCCTTGGAACTATCGCAGGCGATGCAATAGGCATTTGTTCCAGAATTGAGAATGTAACATCCTGTGCAAGTCCAGGAGCCGATGGGTGACTTAAATAGCTCTGACAATGGTAGTTTGGAATCAATGGGTTTACTAACAACTGCGGAAACGTTCTTATTACTCGTCGTAGAAGATGACGGAGCTTCGCAAGCTAAGCATTTCATATCCGTGGAATTATTTCTAGTGTAACAACTAGTACATTCCCAAGAACCAATTGGTGGTTTAAATAATTCCGACAATGATGGCTTCGCTTCTGTGACGTTTTGATTGTTGTTCTCGCCCGACATCTGAACTTTCTTTTCGAGTGCCTTCGCGACTTCGTTCGGATTACTGCCTTTAGCTAGCTTCTGCTGACAGCTCGACACGGCATTGTAAAACTGTGATGCCAGTTCCGATGTGTTAAAGGTCGCGGCATATAAAGTCCAGGTTTTACTGGGTTCTTTAACGTTTCCAGGAATAGTCCAATTAACAACTGTAGTGCCATTCTTGTATGTAAACGCCATATCCGACGGAATTCCGTAACTATAGATCTTAGAGCTTTCGTCATCTGTCAGTAACAAGCGAAGTTTACCGGATGTTGCGTTCAATAATAGCATCATTGATCCTGTACCCTTATTTTTCCACTGCATGGCATTGGTACCGTTGACAGATTGACATTGAAGACTCGCTGGTCCAACAAATAACTTATGCTCATTTTCAGTCTGTGGTCGTATTTCGTCGTTAGACGATCCCTGGTTAATGACGCCGGGTGGTGGCAAACGAGGTCTTCTCAAGGTTGTAGAATTCTGACTGGTTGTTGTGGATGAGGCAAACATTGGTGACTCATTGGAAGTTGTGTTCACAACAGTCGACTGCGAATTTGTTGTTGAAATCGTAGCGAGGATAAAACTCGCAGATGGCATCGAGATGGCGCTTGTTGCAGTTGTAGTCGTGATTTTCGTTTCGGATGTATTGGTTGATTTAGTAAATGAAAATCCGCTGAATGGACTGACTTTCGATGGTTCGTCGATTTTCTTAAAGTCATCTGCTTTCATGTCGCTGACTTCTTGAATAATAGGTTTAGAACTGAAGGAAAATCCTCCTAATGTTGTCGTGCTGGATTTCGATTTGTCAGAGAAAATCACTTCCGTTGTTGAGCTTATCTTATCTTGTTGTGTTAATTGTGATTTTTGAGTCTTGAACGAATCTTTGTTGCTAGAAGAAGCAGTGAAAACTTTCTCACTGATTTTGTACGCCTTTTCCGGAGATATTGCAGATAAATTAAATCTGGCCTGATCGAAAGCCTCCTTAAATGTCATCGCTTCCTCTGCGGTTTTGAATCTGATGCAAAATTTCTCCAGCTTCACTTCCTCATCAGCGAAATCGTTAGCGACCCAAAACCAAGCCTTGTTGTTGTTCGTCATTGGACTCAACTCCATGTCGGGCCTCAGCATGTGATTCGCACAGATCTTCAAGATCTGATCGCGACGCATAAGCAGACGCACTTTACCTTCTGTGTTGCGCAACAGTTTCACGTCACCGACGCCGCGTTCCTTCCATTCTTTATCAACAAAGCGAAACAGTTTTGCCCGACCGCAATATAGAGTATCCTCGTTCTCTTCACCAGTGGTGACTTTCACCTTTGCAGGCAATGGTATGACGGGTATAAAGTTCGGTATCGGATCATGCTCCTGCTCGCACACCTCTGTGGATGTATTCGGCGATTCAATTGACTCATAGATATTGTCGGTTTTGTCATGTATCTTACTACTATTAGCATTATTATGAGCATTTTGTAAAGTACTAGTGCTAGTTGTATGAGTCACAGTGACAATAGACGATGATGTTGTTAGATTGACATAGATCGGCGGTACATTGATGTTGGCTGGAGTTACATAAGTAGAAGTTGATGGTAAGTTGACAGTGGTCGGTATAGTGGCTTGTAGAGGCATGGGAATCTGATAGCAATGCGGTACATTGGAAGATGATGATTTTGTTGTCGTCATTGTCATTATAGGCGTAGTAGAGAAAGTGACAGCTACTCCACCTCCTAATCGATATTGCGGTGGTATGGTGACACTCAGGGTCGGTTGAGTAGATGGTACCGTGGTTGGTAGCGTGTCGGATGTCGTAATGACCACATTCACAGGAAGTGCTTTGTTCACCAGCGCATCTTTGATAATTGTCGTTGTCGTCGTAGTTGTCGTAGTTGTCGCTGTCATTGTTGTAACTTCGGGCTTAGTTCGTGATGGAGTTTCGATTTTCTGCTTCAACGACATTTGTAACGATGGATTCGTCGCGGTTGCCGACATGAGATCGGGCAGCTGCGAGGAAAGTGTCGATGCGAAGAGGCCTTGTTGCAGCGGATTATCCGGCACTTTCGTCTGATTAGGATATAGCATGGGCATAGGATAAACAGTGTGTGGGTAAAGGGATGATATGGCTGCCTGAGTGTTTGGATCGGGGAATGGTAATCCTCCCTGATAATACTGAAATGCGGTTGCTGCTGAAGGATACATCAGCGATGAATAAGGATGCCGAGCATGCTGCGGTGTAAATATGTTACTGGAAATCGAAGACGCCGGCCCAGTCGGTTGGTTCTGATAGTTTAAATCGACATACTCGTCATCGTCAAGAACGTAGAAGTCTTCAGGATCGACAGCGGGATTTATATTCTGTTGCTGCTGTACACGCTGCTGCTGCTGCTGCTGTTGCTGATGCTTTTGATTTTCTTTGCGCGATTCTACTACCTCCTTCGTCAGATTGTCCATTTTTTCGGTCAACGTTTTCATTTGTATCATCATGTTTTTCATTTGCTCCATCATTTCCTGTATTTCGTTGTCCCGGGACTGCATAATTTGACGTATTTGAGCATCAAGGCGCTCTGGACTCGGACGTGCCTCCGTACGATTTTTTGATAAATTCAAATAATCCTGCAATCTGCACGGTGTGCTAGCGTGTTTTGGTGTCCGATGAATATTCCTCTGAGGAGTGCTTAACATGTTCGAACCAGTCAACGTCGTCAACATTGGCAAAGTCGGATTCGTGACCGCCTGATCCACAGCGCTGTGAGTGGGTGAATAACTCTCGTCGGATATACCATCGATATCATTCCTACTCAAATCGCCCCTTCCTAGATCTGGATCTATTCTTTTTAACTCATTCTCAATATCAGTGATGTGAGTGCCGAGCTCGGAGTTCAGTGGGTGTTTAGGATTCGTGCCCGGACTACGAAGTCGGTCGAGCGTAAGATAAAAGCAGTTTCTCGCTTTTGACAGCATTATAATATGTTGCGATCGCATCTCTGACGTTAGACTTTCGCGAGGCGTAGAATCCACTATCTCGTCTGCAAAGATTTTATAAATCTGTGCTAGCTGAAATGACGCTTCCGGGCATTTAAGCGCCTGCAACGCGTCGATTGCCTGCTCGTACTGTTTATCACGTACGAGTCGCTGGGCCAATAGTAACTTGCCTTCCTCAAGCGCATTCGTCAGCTCGAAATTGTTCATTTCTTTGCCCTGATAATTGAACAATTTCGACGGAGATATACGTAATGTTTGATTATTCTGTATCCTCTCTAACAGCGGTAGAGCGGCGGTCCAGTACAGCTCAGAGCGTGCTTCCCATCTAGGAATGTAGCCATTCGCCTCATCCTTCTCCTTCATCATTTTCGCGCGATAATGAAACATGCGTGCCAAATGTACCAATAACACCGGATGCATGCCGTGATTACCAATGCAGCGAATTATTCCCAATCCTTGTTGCAATTCTTGTCGTAATTCGCCGATATCACCGTCTACATCCTCTCGCTTGGAATACATCTTATATGCCGCTGACCACCATTTCTCTTGATTACTTGTGGACAACGTCGTAGTAAGATCGATAGGCAATGTCGGTAATTTTTCTGGATTTACAAAGCTACCAAGTTGCTGTTCCTCTAGAACAGCGGACGAGCAGAATATCGATGCGTTGAGGAATGCATCGATATCGATGAGACATAGGCTGTCAGGTGCTGCCTGATTCGTATTAAATACCGAAAACTGTAACGCTGGGAATACGTGTGAGGTTTGATCTGGGTACGGAGCATCTTTGTTCTGAGGTCGATTCTCCATCCCAAGCCAGATTTGATGGTGTAATGAATCAGGCCACACCTCTTGTGCGACTGCAAACAAAAAATTAGTGTCTATTGTTTTCTTTTTAACATTGTTTTCCACTATGTGACGGTATACTTATTTTGTACATTGTTGCAGCTATTGCAAAATCAAACTCAGAATTAAAGTTCTAAGTGTAATTTGATATTATTAATTGTAACAATTTATGCTTTTTATCTAATGACAAAAACAAATGCAATACTTGTATATTTTAAAAATTAATAAACTGCAAAATAGATATAAAATTCTTGATTATTCTTGCGTATTTTAATAATCTAAAAACAGAAGGATTAATAAACGTACTTTGACTATAAGTCCTTAACTGATTTGCGGTACACATGCGTAAAGGTGGATCAGGAGCTGAATGATGATGGCAAAAAAATGAATTCCTTATATGATCAAGGTGTATTCGGGTTACAAAAATTCTCTGCAAAAGAAAAGCTACATTGAATGTACATCAAAACAGAGATTCATTATCAAGATTTATATGAAGCATGATTCGTACCTGATAAATCCGTTCTCTCCAGAGTCCTGTGCAAAATTTATCAATTCTATCCATCAGCTTTTTCGTGTCATCCCTAGCATAATTTTGAAGAATGTAACCTATTAAAATAAAGAATATAAAACTGTTAGTAAAAGTTAGATACTTAAAAATATAATAATTCTTGTATGAAATGATATGTTTACTGAAATCTTGTATGAAAATTCTTTGAGAATTCTCAGATTTCCTAGATATATTTTTATTTAAAGTTTCAGATAAGAATTTTTTAATATAATTTTAAAATGAACTTAAATACAAGTAACGCAAATACATATACAGAATGTCTGATAATTAACGATAAATTCTTGCTCGCACAGCGGCAGAATGGACTAAACTGAATCAAAAAGTCCTCTCCTATTTTGTAATTTCCAATATAATATTTACAATATAGTATAATATTTACAATAGTTAACGAGATATTAATTACTAAAAATTGCCGAATATTGGTCTTCAATAATTTTTTATTCGAATACTACCAACTTTACAGAAAAGTAACAAAAAATAAAAATTGCTTATTTTTTTCTCGTAAAGTTCTGAAAATTTTTTTCAGAATTTTTTAATACCGTATTTTCTCATGTTGGTAAAAATTCTCATGTTGCCAATAAGAAAATGCATATTAAAAAGTTGATCAAAAATTCTGAAAAATTTTCTTAGAGCTCTACAAGAAGAAAATAAACAATTTTTGTCTTTTACTGTTTTTCTGTAAAATTGATAGTATTTGAGTAAAAAATTATTAAAAAAGACCAATATTCGGCAATTTTTATATAATAATTAATGTCTCGTTAAGAGGAGGTTCTATTCTATTTTAAAATTTATCTTTTTCCAATTTTTTTCATAAAAAAAAGGAAGATGATATTAAAATAATGTTTTGGCATAAATTTTTATATATTTCACACGTACAAATAATTTTTTCGAAATATAAAAAATAGCGGTTATTTCTTAGGACTGCATCAGAGAGCGCAACGCGTGGTCAACTAGTGTGAAATCCTGGCTATCGACAGTTTATCTGAGACGAAAAGAATTAATGAAATTATTAAAATAGGGTCTTTCAATAGGGACGCTCGAAATTTGTTACAGTAGCCATGTTGTTAAAGTGACATCTGTCAAATTTGTTGTGAATTGTTTAGTAGTGTATGGCAAATCACCATGGAAGGTCATAGTGTTGAGCAACATGTGCAAATCATAAAATTTTATTATCAAAATCAGTGCTCCGTTCGAGAAACGTTCCGCGCATTACGTGATTTTTATCCTCACCACAACCGTTCTGCCGAGTCGACTATTCGACGTTTGGTGGCCAAATTCGAGTCAACCGGTTCGATAAATAATCAGCCAACACCAGTACGTTGCCGAAACGCAAGGTCTGCTGAAAACATCGCTGCTGTGCGTGAAAGTGTACGGGAAAACCCGGGGCGGTCAATTTCTCGTCATTCACAACTTGGCCTTTCTGCGACTTCAATTTGGTGAATTTTGCGTCGGAACTTGGGTCTGTACCCCTATAAAATTCAACTGATCCTTAAAGTAAACGACCAGGGTAGACAACGCCATGTGTTCGCTGGGTTCTGGAGCAATTGGAAGTTAACTCAAATTTCGCTAAACAAATTATCTTTAGCGATAAGACCCATTTTTGGATGAATGGATATGTGAACAAGCAAAATTGTCGAATTTGGTACCAATCCACGCGAGATACACCAGCTCCAAATGCATCCCGAGAAAGTCACTGTTTGGTGCGGATTTTGGTCTGGCGAAATCATCAGTCCGTACTTCTTCCAAAACGAAGCAGGCGTTGCCATAACCGTCAACGGCGAGCGCTACAGATCGATGATAAGCAATTTTTTGTGGTCTAAAATGGATGATATGGATACCGATAACATGTGGTTCCAATGTGGATGGCGCTACGTAACACACCGCATGCCACGATGGACATTCTGCACGAGCGAGGGCCGTCTCGCGCGGCGACGTGAACTGGCCACCGAGATCATGCGATTTAATGCCTTTAGACTTCTTCCTTTAGAGCTATCTTAAATCGCAGGTCTATACAAATAAACCGCAAACAATTGATGCTCTCAAAGTCAACATAACAAACGCCATCCAGCAAATTCAGCCAGATTTATGCGAGAAAGTCATCGAAAATTGGACCGCTCGAATACGTGTCACCAAGCGAAGCCGCGGCGGACATTTGAGCGACGTTATATTCCATACTTAATATCATAAAATATTCTTTTAAATAAAAAAAAAATTGAGTGGATATCTCACACATAACTTGTTTTATTTACATTTAAAAATCGAGCGTCCTTATTGAAAGACCCTATATATTAAATGTGGGAGCATGAACCTCATTTCATTTGAAAAATTTGAAAATTTATAAAATGGCAACTTGAAATCAAGTGTCAATTTTCACAAACTTTTTTTCTTTTTCAACCTGTTCAAATATTTTTATTAGTTATTTTGGAAAATTTATGGCATTTTTAGGTTCATGGCCCCATAAAAATTGCTTATTTTACGTAGAAAAAAAATTTTAATCGATCGGATAAAATTTTACATTTTACGCCAGTTTGAAAAACATGAATTTGAGAAAATCGCGAAAAAATAAAGTTTTACTTTATTATAATGATTTTAATTAACTATTACTTTATGATAATGATTTTAATTAACTACAATATTTTGCAACTTACATTTAATCAGTAATTCCGGACCTATATAAGTCAATTTCTCCTCTGTTCGAAGAACAAATTTTGCTACATGTGAACTCTTCTTCTTTCGATTTTTGCTTGTTTTGTGCATAACATTGAGCTCACTTGATTTTCGACCACGCGCAATGCAAAATCCGATTCAATAAGTCATAACATTGCACAATCCTTTTACAAGCATATTTTACACACTTCAGAGATACAAAAAATGTAAAAAGCGATTTTTTTTTACCCTCCAAAATAGAACCTCTCCTTACTATTGCAAAATAGAGGACTTTTCGATTCAGTTTAGTTCGCTCTATCTACAAAAAATGTTTAGCAAAAGTTTCGTCGGACACCCTATGTAAATAGACTGCCAACTTCGCTTCCATATTTGAAAACGATGCTAGGCAGCGCCATATTTTAGTTCTCTTACATCCATGTATAAATTACATGGATATTCACACGATACTCACAGACAGGACGCATACATACGCATATGGGAACTAAAACTCAGAATCAGGATCATCTCTTTCTATCACATTGAATCAGCAGTTTATTTATATAAAGTCTGATCTACATAGAACGCGGATCGCAGATCGCAAAACTAAAAATTAACCTAACGTATTTTAATTATAATAGGTTGTAAGACACAGAACGCAGGATGCAGAAAGCAATTGAGTGAACTTCAACTTTTGCATCCTGCATCCTACGTATTGTGATCTGCGATCTATTGCAATCTGAAATATGTTTCATTTGCGTTTTGCGTTTAGGGTATTCATAGCGGTATTCATAGTTTTTATTTCAAGGCTGTCTTAAGTAATGTCTTAAGACGCTAATATAGTCCTCTGATTGGTTCGTGACTTCTTAAGACTGTACTTAAAATGATTTTGAATATAACATCTGATGAATACTGGTTTTATATAGATCAAACTTTAATCTATAATAATCTATAATAGTTACGCACAAGATGCATAAAGCTAATATTTCATGTGCCATACGAATTTCTTAAGACTATCCTGGTGAAAATTTTTCTTATAATTTTTATACGAATTGAAACATTTTTTGGAAATACTCAGAAATATTCGGAAAATTTATATCTTCTCTCAGAATTTTTCATACAAACGAATTCTGAAAAATTCTGAAATTTCTCATTCCATAATTTAAAAAAATATTTTTAAATTTTTTAGATTTTATAACATTTCATCAGAAATTATACTTACAAAAATCTTAGAAATCTTATATTTCATAATTAACGTGAAAAATTCTGAGAAAAGATGTAGATTTTCTGAGAAGTTCCAATTCGTATAAAAAATATAAGAAAATTATAAAATTATATAGAAATTCTGAAAAATTGTATAAAAAATTGTATAAAAAAATTTTTTTTCCAGGATGTTGATTGGTTGCGGAATAAAGAGATCCGAAAAGGGATAAAAAGCCTTGTCGATCAACACTTAAAATATTAGGTACAATTTCATGCTGTTAAAATAAGCAATTGGAGCGATCTGTTATTATTCCAGCGGTCGAAATTTTATAACTTGAACTATAATACATGGAAACACTTATATCATGGTTTGAATGGTTTCAATTATACATCAAACACTCAAACTGTTGATAGTGTTGCCGCATCGTATCGACGCACGTATGATATAAAAATACAAGATGTAACGTTCGCACGAATGCGCAATAGGAGTATGAATTTGGATCCAAATTTGATTGGCTGTTCTAGTATGCTACTGCTACTATACGCAGGAAAGTACATTTGGACTCAAATTTGATTGTATGCTATCGTCATGATACGCAATGTTTCATCTTGTCTTATTACATCATAGTAGCAACCATATTGACTACGTTGACCGCGATATATAATCTAATTTATTCTTTTCCTTTGTTGCCGATTCAAAAGGTTAGTATAAAAGGATTCAGTGCAGTTAGAATAATTTAATAACTGTTAATACTATTTAATTCAGACACATGTCAAAATTGTGAAAAACATAAACATGTCAAATCTGTCGCTTAAATGTCAAGTTTAATGTTTCTTGCCCTTTTTCATATATAAAATTATCGCTCTAATAGTTCTGCGACAGAAGTCATCATGTAATTTTTTTTATCGCTGAAACTTCCAATTTGAGTGGCTCGTAAAAAACATCTTCGCACGACAAGAGACAACGTGATAGCCAATTAGACTCTTTCAAATCAGAGTCTAATTAGCTATCGCATCGTTTCTTGCCATGCATAACAAGCTTATTCACGCAGAATATTATCCAGAACATTAACGCTTATTGATGCAGAACATTAATGCATCCTGAGTGCAACAGATCTTGCTGATAGATGATTAAAGAAAATGTAAAGTATCCTCGTGCCTCAATAGACATTATTGCATGCTTTAGTATATC